AAATGTTCATTTAGTTTCTACGCACTTTTTGTGCAGTGAGTAAAATAATCCGAAGAGATAGTTTCATTTAAAATGTCAAATATTCGCGTAAATCTAAGAAAGTATTATGTATACGTATACTTGTATAATAATTCAAGTTTTTTTCTTTAATTTTACACTGCGTCCAGTCCTACGTTAAACGGTAGGGAGGTCAATCTTACAGTCCCAAGTCCTACAGGCTGGCCAAGTGAGGTAGCAAACTTCACATATCTTTCGAAAATTAGATTATTTTAGACATGCAGGTTTATTCTCTTTCACTGTAAGGCGAATGGTAACCATGTTGACCATAATTCGTATTCGTATATCGTAAATATGAAAATATTAGAAATGCGAGACCTGGTTTTAAACCCACTTCTCTTGTATTTCCAAGCGCTTCGCAAGGGTTTGAACTTGCTTCTATTGGTTTTGCAAGAGAGCAATCCACTGGGTAATTAATGAAAAATGTATATCTGCCAATAATTACTTATAGAGTAGATATCGTTTGTTTGATTTCTTTAAAACAATGGGCAGAGAACTAATGAGTGTCTGTATTGAACAGATACGAAAGCGCACTAAAGTGTCACAAAGACGTTATCTATCTATTTTATACTAATATTATAAAGAGGTAAAGTTTGTGAGTTTGTGACGTTGTAGGATGTAATCTTTGGATCTACTGAACCGATTTAGATGAAATTTGGTAAAAAGATAGTTTGGGACCCTAGGAAGGACATACTTTTTATCCCAGAAATCATCCCCTAAGGGGGTGGGGATGAAAGTTTGTATTGGAAATCAGGCTAGGGACGAACCCGAGCGTAGCGAGGGTAAGTCGCTAGTAAAACAGATAATGTTATCATTTTAACTGGAGACATATCAAGAAAAATATTTTAATTTTAAGATCATTTCGCGAATGTTTGTTTCTTTCCATTTCGCTGAAATGTCAACTTATAAAGCACTTTGGATAATTGAATAAGTATAATAAATCTTAAAAGTTTAAATAAACATTTAGTTTCTACGAACTTTTTGTACAGTAAAATAACCATTTATTTCTTAAAATAATATTTTAGGTTTGGAGTAGTTACTTTATTTTATATTTAGCAACAGTTAGAATGATTTGTAGACAATGTAAATATTTGACATTTATACAAATAAAAAGATCCTTTAAAAGTATCATGTATTTTATGTTTTAAAGAGCTTTGGTAATGTAAAAAATAGATATTAATAATTTTGCTAACAAACTTATTGTAAATCATAATTATTTACATATAAATTTATTTATTTTAAAACAAATTGTTGCCCGCGGCCCTTTTCAATTATTTGATAAAAAAGAGCTTATGTGTCCATCCCGTATATAATACACGCTTACATTATATTTCGAACGTCCTTAAAATCTTTTGAGATATTACACCATAAAGAAGTGATAAACACACATAAACATACATACATACAATACACATATACAAACCCACACACACGTACACAAAGTTTTGCATTTATAATATTACTGTCATATGACTCAACTAAATCCTTTAGTTGGCTCATTTCAAAAGGTGCATAAGGGTGAAATAAACAGATATTCAACGATTCATCTCTCATTAACGGTTTACTGCGTGTCGACGTTTTTGTGGACATTTTCGCGTGTAAAAATTCCCTTTGAACGTTTAAAAGCGCATTCATCTCTGTTTGCGACTCCTCATTTTTGCCTGAAGTTACGGGAACTTTTTCCGTGTTTATAAACTGACGATTTACATATCTAAAATGCAATTTTATTTTCTTTTTTTAAATTCCATTTTGCTATATGTCCTTGCTAATGTTATAAATGGAAAGTAAGTTTTGTTTGTTTATTTGGTTCTCTTGGTTGGCTTAACCTATCGTATTATATGATATAGTGATATAGGAAGACTGAAACTAGTTAGTAGAGTTATGATGGCTTGACAGCTAAGGCTAAAATATAACAAGAACAGTTCATAGAATAGATTTTAAATAAATAAAAGTTAATATAAAATTCAACGCGGTGGACTATGGCCTGATGAAGACCATTCATCTTCTTCATCATCATTCAGATTGAAGGAAGGCTTTGTCCAGCTGTGGGTGATTAAAATACAACACTAGCGTCTAGCGTCCACATTGTTTCTTTACAATTTTGCATGTGTTTTGTACTTTTACAGTTTATACGCACATATACTTTAAGTACACATTTAGTTCACTGTGCTTGTTTCTTGAAAATAAAGATTTAAGTAAACTTTTGCCTCGGGTAAAAATTTCATTCATCGGGCCCAAAATACCATACGCCACTCTCCGATATTTTTATGCAAAAATCATATCGTTCTATTGCTATATGGAAAAGGATATGGAAACGAACGCTACATTATAACTTTTTAAATTTTCACGTTCTATAATTGTATAATAATGACCCACGGGCCTTAAACCTGCGATTTCGTAAATGGCTAAATACGAGTACCTTAATCAGTAAGGATTACTCTATGTCGTTATAAAATGAAACATTGTCGACTTAATCGATTCCTACTCAATTAGAGACAGTTGCTCCACAATATTTGACGTGTGTGACAACCCTAATATTAAACTCAGCCTGAAATCCATTTTATTTGTTCACATACGGACGTAAAGAATATGTATCAATATTTTTGTTAAATAAATAAAAAATTACCTAGGTACTAGGTAGGCATCTACACTAATAATAATAATAATGTCCTCCCTGATGGCTAATCTCACTGAGACTAGCCAGATGCGCAGGAGATATTATAGTGTACAAGTCCACTCTTTATTCCTTTTACTCTCAAAGTCCGATGGGGCGATACTTCGACAAGACGAGTGAGAACTAAAGCGCAGGACCAACAGCTTTACTTGCTCTCCGAGGCACAGGAAACACCGCCAACTTCCCAACTCCGGGCTGTTACTGAGATTTTTTTGACAGAAATACTCAATAGTTAAACTTGGCCCGAGCCGGGACTCGAACCCAGGACTCCCGGATCTGTGGTTGTACATGCTAGCCTCTAGCCACTGAGGCTGTACTACTAGAAATATGTAGATTAGGAAGGTAAGAATTTTTAGTAGTACATTAAGGCATAGAATATTATTACCCTGAAAATTAAAATAAATAGTCTTCGAGGGATACTCATCTGTTGCGAAATAGCAAATGAGCCTAGTGGGATTACTATTACAAGTGCAGAAGTTTATGTGAATGTGTGTGTGTGTGTGTGTATGTTTGTTACACCTACACTTTGAAACGGATAGATAGATTTAGATGAAATTTAGTTCACAGATAGACTATGATCTAGAGTAACACGTAGGCGGGTTACTGTTTATCGCACGTCAGGGATGCACCAGAGTGGAGGTAGGGTAGCAACATGCTAATCCATACTAATATTATAAATGTGAAAGTGTGTTTGTTTGTTTGTCTGTCCTTTTTTCACGTCAAAACAGAATGACAGATTGACGTGATTTTTTGTGTGGAGATAATTGAAGGGCTGAAGAGTGACATAGGCTACTTTTTAACGCGGGACATTATCTCATTCCCACGGGAAAACACGTTATAATATAACCTTAAAAATATTTATGATCAGAATTACTTGAAATTTGGTATTAATATTCTTCTATATAATTAAATAAATAAGTGTTTTAGCATTTTTCGAAACCTACCTTTTTAGAGATCTTTGTCCTGCTAGTATAATATAAAGAAAAATAATTAGAACAATTATTGACCAACTTAAAAGGCGAGAGGTACTCAATTCGAATAAAAGAAAAAAAAACTAATCCGAAGCGTAAGTAATTACTTTTAAAGTAATACTGCAGTTATTTTCAGTTAAAAATAATTAAAACTAAAGCTTCATCGTTTTTAATTTAATTTAAAATTAGTTTCAGTGCTTCTAGTTTTAAGCTGTGTGTAACCTGTTACGGAGTCAAGGAGGTAATTAGGTGAATCTAGACACAGGTACCATCCCATAACAATGCCTTTGATTAGTACATTACTACTCGCTTTCAGGATCTATTCGCATCTACCTCACGTTTCATTCATTCTTATGCTATTGTACATCACTACAATTTAGCTACTATTGTTCCTGTAATTGGACTTGCAGATAAATGTAGCCTCGATACATTCATTTTCTTAAGAATTTCTATACAAAAAGTAATAATACATGTGAAATACGAGTATAGCAATATTACAAAAATAATACTTGATAACAAAATTAGATTTATTTTTTTGATATTCCCTAATGAAACTGATTTAAATGAAATATTGTTACTCAACTTAGTAATAATAAAATAAAACATTTAAGTATGAGCGTTAGCAGACCGCCTATAAGGTAGACCGACGACTTGTTCAGAGTCCCAGTGGATGCGGATGGTACAAGACCGGAAGTCGTGGAAGTTTTTGAAGGAGACCTATGTCCAACAGGGGGTGTATTTCACCTTAGACTATATGCTCAGATTTTTCTTGCAATATAAAATAATCGATCGAATTGTCTTGCGTCATGAGACACTTGTTTACCAAATTTCAGCAATGTATCCCCAAAAGTATGTGAGCCAAATGAATGTAACATACGGAAAGATAGATAAATAAATAGATAGACAGACGGTCATGATTAAATTATAAAGGTTCCGCCTTCGCGTTTTGGTTACGGAACACTAAAAAATGTCTTTCAGGCTGAACTACTTTGTAAAATAAGTAAAATTATTTTGCCGCAAATATAATAGCGGTATATCTCAATAATCAAAGGACGCAGCTCATCATGCAACACTTATCCTGTTAAGGTCTAAGTATCAAGCGGAAGTAATCGATTGTTGCATTAGACGCGTAACGGTAACTTAGTGCCGTGCACCAGACTTGGGTAACTCGTAGTCTTCAAATGTAGAGCATAATGTCTCACAACATCTTAACCAGAAAAAAGAAAAACTAACTGAAAATGCTGAAAATTCTGAAATGACGCCACTGAGAAATAAAATTATTTATAATATTTACGAAAATGAATGAAGCCAAAATGATTTTTGAAGAAAAAAGTGTTCATCTGGATGAAGTATTAAAATTATTTGGTGCGTTCAGTCGCTATCACATACAAGCGATTCTTTTGATAAGTTTCGCCTTCTTTAATAATGGCATGCACTGCATTAATTATGTTATTGTTGCTGAAGAGACTTTATACAGGTATGTTTGAAAACTGATTGAAATTTCTTGATTGAAATTTGAAAATACATTTTAGTTAAAAATTTCAGACAGGATCTTTTTAACGCATGCTTAAATGGAAATGTTTGATGTAGAATTAAGCCATTGTTGACATACTATCATCATGTTTGGAAATAATTAGGTATACTCGTGCTTGATAATTTTACAAGTAACCATTAGATTTAATCCATTGTGTAGTAAGCAAGGAAAAGATAGTACCTTTTCACTTCGATCTCCACTTTCTACCAGAGCACGCTGTTTGGTAATGACCGATGCTAGATTATCTAAATAAGTCTAAACAAAAAACCTAACCTCCTAACTGGCAGACTTAGTTTTCAACGCACAGATCAAACTGCATAATTGAAAGTATAAATTCTGACAGTGTATTCCTATACAAACATAGAAAACTTTACAGATTTTTAATATTTATTCAATTATAATGAAAAATGTCGTCACAGTCCATATTCAATAAAAAATGTTTTGTTCAGTAAAACAGAGGTGATCTGTTATTTGTTTAATTGTATAGCAAATATAGGGAAAGCATTTACATTAAAGTATTTTAGCCAAGACATAATATTGGATGCCAGCGCGAATAAGTCATTAGAGACTTGTAAGCTCCTAGATTTTAATTAAAAATATTTTTTAGATGTAAGATCGAGGCGTGCGAGCAGAATAGCGTATTCGAGTCGCCATACAATTTCACTGCGCCCCCTTCGTCCAGGGGTTGCTATAAATACCACTCACAGTCTGAAGAATGTTCGGAATTCAGTTTTAATACATCAATTGTGGAGGCGTGTGATCAATATGTTTATAAGAAAGAGGATAGCTTTGTAGCTGAGGTAATTTATAGACATGTGTATCATAATAAAATTAAAGTTAAGTACTATGAAAGGTGTATATTTTGTATTAATATGTAGAAAAGTTAAAGTATTTATTTAATAACATTTAATAAGACTCGTTTAATTTATATAAAATTTAGGTTGCAGCAGATTCGCTACTTTAATTTTATAATGTAGAAATAATAATTAAAAATAAAAAAAATTAAATGTGTGTATGTTTGTAACTCTTTCACACAAGCTGATAATAGATTTGGATGAAATTTACACACACAGAACTATTATTTGAACTAACATATAGTCTCTACTTCCTCGGAATTTTCTAGGACTCAATGCATGTGTAATATTTATATATACCTATTAGCTACATATAAAAATAGTTCCTAAATAATAACAAAATGGCAACATATAAATTAAGTTAACGATAGCACTAAGAAAACATACTTTAAAAGTCTTAATCTAAAGATTCAGATATACGGCAAAATTAGTTAACATTTTGATTAAAAGTTTTTGAAGTTATTTGTACTGTTAGTTCCAGCTAGCATGCCAAGATTGGAAGCGCACATTTGTTGGCACAGTGCACAGTATTGGTCTAATGTGTGGACTATTTTTCCAAGGACAGCTTTCTGACAAGTAAGTTAGAACTATTTTAATTAACATTTTGGGAAAATACAAAATTTTTTATGTAACATAAATTATTTTTGTAGACTTATGACTTGACGCGAGTTTGACTGGTATAATATATTTAATTTAATATAAATTATCAAGAAGACTTTTGCTTGTGGAGTGTAGGTGGAGAACATTATTCCTTACTACTTTGCCAGCTTTTTATCTATACAAGACAAATATTCAATCATAACTTTGATGCTGACAACCATCAGACATAGTGGGATTATTTATATATATAAAGAATGAATAAATATAAACGAATATCGAAGATTAGCCTACGCGAATATTTTGGGGGTAACGTATAAGCAACGTCTACGTTCTACGGTCATCTCATACAGTTTTCAAAAACATACTTTACAGAATTGGACGGAAAGCGGCCATCATAATCGCCGGTGTAGCTGCAGCATTATTTGGAATTGCGAAGAGTTTTGCAAGTACATATTTAGCTTTTGTTATACTGGAGTGGTTAGAAGCCACTTTTGGGGACAATTGTTCACCAGCTTTTATATTGGGTAAGTAAAAGAAACTTTTCAAAGATTTTATTCTTATAAAAATCTCTAGAAAATATGAATTCGTATAACGAATGGAAAAATTGTACCACTTGGTTGAGTTTGAATCATTTAAAAAATAAGGTATTTTCGTATTTTAAACTTAATTTAGCCAGTTATTAAACCAACTAGAAGTTGCACCGTACTTGTGATCTTTAGTAATTTATGCATTTAGTATTTTCAATATTCGTTGAAGATTGATACTTGTTCCAATTTTATTGTTTTATTGTGCACACCAGTTATGTATAATTGACTTGCCAATATCACGAAGAAATGTATCTTTATCTTATCACTCGAAACACACATCTGAGCATGGGACTCAAGTTGTAGGAAACAAAATGTTCGTTTAAAACTTGTGATTTTATATTAAACTAGCGGACCCGACAGACGTTGTCCTGTCTACACGTCTTTAATTTGAGAATTTCAAACTTTTTTTAATATTTTTTTTGATGAAAATTATTATTCAAATTGTGAATCTAAACCATTCCCAGATCCCCTTGAACACACACAAAAAATTTCATCAAAATTGGTCCGGTCGTTTGAGAGAAGTTCAGTGACATACACACTCACAGAAGAATTATATATATAAAGACTAGCGGACCCGACAGACGTTGTCCTGTCTACACGTCTTTAATTTGAAAATTACAAACCTTTTTTTAATAAGCTAAAACATTCTGGACCATTTTGATGAAAATTATTATTCAAATTGTGAATCTAAACCATTCCCAGATCCCCTTGAACACACACAAAAAATTTCATCAAAATCGGTCCAGTCGTTTGAGAGAAGTTCAGTGACATACACACTCACAGAAGAATTATATATTTAAAGATAGACATATTAAAGACAACCCGCATAGGCCAGCATGGTGGATTATGGCCTTATCCCCTGCATCGCATTGAAGACAGGCCAGTTCCCAACATTGAGACGTTAAAAAAGCTGAATTCTATATGGAAGCTTATATTTGTGGCTTGTTTTAAATATGTTATTATCATATAATAAAAAGTTATGTGTAATACTTTCTTAGATTTATGCGAATATTTGACATTTTATATAAAGTTTTATCTTTTCGGATTATTTAGAAATAATATTTATATTCTTTTATAAAGAGAAGAAAATTTTATTTTTCAGGAGTGGAACTTGTGCACAGCGACTACAGACTTCATCAACAGATATTCTTTTGCGTGATCGCAGCTTTGGGTGGCGTCTCATTTTCCATAGCGGCATACTTAGTTCCTTACTGGAGACATTTCGTCCGCGTGATTTATGCACCGTCTCTGCTTTTCATATTATTCTACTTTATCATGGACGAAAGCGTGCGATGGTTGCTAAGTAAAGGAAAAAAGGATAAAGCGACAAAATTGTTATTAAAAATGGCAAGAGTAAACAATATAAAGTTAGATAACAAAATGCTTGTTAATATACAATGTGAAGAAAATGGTACCAAAAATTCAGCCTTGAGCGAGACGTTTCATTCAAAAATCGTAATAAAAAGGTTTCTAATATGTTTGATATGGTGGACTTCATGTACTTTTATCTCGTTTGGTTTAGTGGTGAATGTAGATTCGCTAGCTGGAAATAAATACTTAAATTTTGCTATAATGTCCCTATCCGATATACCAGCGAGTATAGCAATGGTATTTGTTCTAAAACGATTTAAGAGAAAAAAACCCCTCCTCATATCATTCATATTTGCTGGGCTGTTATGCTTAGTTCAGCCATTTGTGCCAAAAGGTACGTAATTTTGGATTTACAATGTAAGTACAAAACTCTATTGAATATTGACTAGGCCCTTATATGAAAAAATACTATTAGAAATATTATATGAACTTATTGTTGCGACAGTTATTTTAATTTTTACCATTTTGATTGGAAAAGTTAAAAAATGAACTTCTTGTATTATGGTATATCGTAAAAAGTTACCTATGTGCTATTCCAGACTATAATCTATCTATCGTGGTAAATATCATCCAGATTCGTTCAGCCGTTCTAGCGTGATTGAGCAACAAACATCCATCCATCCAAACTTCCACATTTATATAGTAGTAAGATAAGATATAGACGCGGCTGTTAGGTAGCTTCAATTTTTTTTCTTTTATTGCGTTTATTTTTATAACTTCATATCATGCAAATAGTAGGTACAATCAAAAATATGTAATAATGGAAGAAATTCTTTTCAGAATACGTTTGGATGTCTACGGGAGTATATTTTATGGGTAGATTCGTATCGACGTTCACTTTTGCTACTGTTTACATTTACACATCAGAACTTTTTCCAACTTATTCAAGGAATTCTATGCACGCACTCTGTTCTGCGATCGGAAGGATCGGTTCCATCCTGGCACCAATGACCCCGTTACTGGTAATCCTAATGGCTGATAAGTAAAATTATCTTTTTGGTTCTTTCGCGGATTTATTTTGAGTTTTAGTTCCTCATATTTCGAACGCTTTACAAAAGATAATGATAAATCCGAAAAGATAGTTTTGTTTAAAAAGTCAAATATTGAGGTAAGAAAGTGTTATTCTAATAGCTTTTCTGTTCTATAATTTATCCACAACTTATGTTATTACATTCTTTATTGCACTTAAAAACAAATTACACAAATTAATTAACATAAATCTTAGTTAGCAAAGGTGGACTTATCATTGAAAGAGATCTCTTTCAGCAAACTTCTTCTACATGAAGAAAATGTTAGCCAGGCAGTTATATCTATAGAAAACAGAACAAGAATAAATAAATTGATATCTAAAGAACACAGTAATTTCAGGCCATCAACAGCCTAATCCACATTTTTCTTTTTTCGACTTAAATACTATAGTATACTAAATATGGCTAAGTTTAATTTACAAAAGATCTGGGTGCAGTTTTATTTATAGATAAAAATTGCCTCTAAAATTAAAACTTTTTGGAAACGCAAAAATAGCCTAAGCCACTCCGTATACTTGCATTGTCATTGCTGACGTATGGCTTAGGCTAAATGAGATGCTCGCTTTGTTCCTAAAATTTTGGTGGTTTTTGAAGTTGTTGGCTACATGTTAACAATTTTGTTTCAGACGCAATATATGGAAAGTCTCCCTACACTACTCTTTGGTAGTATATCTATTGCAGCGGGTCTTACAACATTATTTGTTCCCGATTTGGCTGATGAACCGTTACCTGATAACGTGCATCAAGCAGAAAGTATGGGCACTAGAGACTATACTGTTGTATCAAAAGAGGAAACGGAAAAAATAAGTTAAATGAGGATTTTCTCGTTTACTAATTTACTAATAATTTGTAGAGGCATGTCTTAATTTTTATGAAATAATATTTTCTAAATTTTTAGTAATTCTTATTTAAGTTTATTTGAATTTACAGATCGACAAATTAGTTTTATTAATAAGTATACTTAGTCTGTAGACAGTTGTCCCTATTATCCCACACCGGGGTACAGCCTAGTATACCGGTAATCAAATTAATTTTTATAAGCATTTTTTTTATCGTTTATTCTAATAGAAACAATCAATCAAAGACATGGAGCTCATGTAATTGTATTTGGACATTTTCATTTCTACTATATTTATTTTATATATTACTTCGGCAAGTTAGAGTGATATCCATACTAATATTATAAATGTAAAAGTGTTTGTTTTTTTTGTTTGTTTGTTTGTCTTTATTTCACGTCGAAACAGTTTAGTGGATTGCCGTGATTTTTTTGTGTGGAGATAGTTGGAGGGCTGGAGAGTTACATACTTTTTACCGCGAGAGATTATCTCTTTCCCACAGGAAAACACGTTATAATACAATCAAAAAATATTTATGATCAGAATTACTTGAAACTTGATATTAATGCTCGTCAATAAAATTAAATAAATATGTGTTTTAGCATTTTTTGAAATTTATCCTGTAAAAGGAGTAAAATAGAGGATGAAAGTTTCTATGAAATTACTTTTTGGACAGTTTTTTGTTGTTTTAGTACGACTGAAGCCGCGGGTTCTGCTAGTAAGCTATAATTTATGTTATTTTTGAGAAATGACGACGTCAATCAATTTTACTGTTGTTGTACGATTAGTACTTAAATATTGACAGTAAGAAAAAAATTTAAAAAGAGGATCTTATTTGTATTCTTCAGTGACTGCTTCAAGCTGTTTGAGTTGATCCCACTGAGTACTTTTAAGATACAACTAATTCCAGTTCGTATGCACTGGTTGTACATATGTACAACCTTCCATACTAATATAGGTATTACAGCTTTAAAACAATCACTGTCGAGCGAATAAAAATTAAAATTGACTTTATTTACACCATGAATATAAGACTTTCTAATAAATCTACCGGCGTTATTATCTCTTAACAATACCTCCTGCGTTTATTTAACGGCTTGCTTTGATGAGAAACAAAGATGGCCGCCCATTAATTTTAAATGACTATCTTTCCCATTAAAACGGAAAAGGCGCGGAACATTCAAAATAATTAATTATACCTTCGAGATTACAAGCTCATTCGCATTTAAAATTACATATTCTTATAAGTTTTAAATATCATGTACATAGCATCATGGTATATTTATCTTTTCTTCATTTCTTCATTTATCTTTGTCTTTCACATTTATTACAAGCGACTAGTTGTTACGTCCCTAGGTTGATTCCCCATACAAACTTTCATCCCCTCTTACGGGATGATTTCCGAGATAAAAAGTATCCTATGTTCTTCCCAGGGTCTCAAACTATCTTCTTACCAAATTTCATCTAAATCGATTCAGTAGATCCAGAGATTACCCCCTACAACGTCACAAACTCACAATCTCACAAACTTTACCTCTTTATAATATTAGTATAGATTAGAAGTATTCTTTAATGGGCAGATATATTTAATAATTTAATTAATTATATTTTGTAATAAAGGATCAAATAATATCAATTGGTTAATGAAATACATATTAATTCATACAACTTTTTTTTAATATACAATGTAGGTAGGTATATTGTAAATACCTTAAATTATTAAAAAAAAAGGTTGTAACAACAGGAAAAATTAACAATTTTTTTTATTCTAACAAAAATATATAAACATAAAAAATTAGCAAAAATGTTTGTCGATCAAATCCCTTTAGTGCTGAGATGGAAGAAACAGCGTAGGATTTATGCGTCCCTCAATTAGGTAAATGGAGTTTGCATTGTCTAATCCCGACTCGAGACAGCGTCGCAGGTTGCGCTACGAATCTTTAGTGAGATTTTAATGAAAATAACGAAGAAGAAGCGGTTAAGTAAGCTGGGTTGGTATAGAAAATTAGTACATATTAATGAAACGGTATTCAGCCTTTTTTAACGTCCCAGTACTGGGCACGGGCCTTCCCTTCAATACGATAGGGGACCAGGCCTTAATCTTCCGCGTTGGCCAAGTGTAGGTTGGTAGACTTCACATGTCTTTCGAAAACTTGCTTTGCATGTTTCCTCACGATGTTTTACTCCACCGTAAGGCAAGTGGTAATCATGTTGGAAATGATTCGCACATGAAAATGTCAGAAGTGCGAGACAAGGGATTTGAACCCGCATCACTCGGTTTCCCAAGCGCGCTATCACTGCAAAAATACGCTATTCCTTCGATAAATTGTCATGAAAACTAAATTGAAATAGACTATATTCACAGTACATATACCTTCCTCCACTGGCTTCTGAAATAAAGCCAATATACGTTTACCTTATAAAACATTTTCATCGTCATAATAATAAGTAATCATTATTAGAAGACTCTGTTAGATTAAAGCATTTCAAATAAAAATATTTTTTCGGATTATTTCGCGAATTTATTTTGATTTTTCGTCCAGAAAAATCACAAAAAATCCAAATAAATCCGCGAAAAAATCCTTAAAGCTAGTTTTGTTTAAAATGTCTCATATATCGCGTAAATCTAAGAAAATATTAGATTAATGCAATGAATATTTTGTCTATGTTAATTCTCAGCCCAGAGTATGAAGAACATTTTAATTATTTTAATAGTATCGAGTGACGCTTAGCTTAATATCTTTCACAAATAAAAGGAAAACAACAGTCTTTAATAACGGAGAGAACAAAGCTAATTAATATTGTAGCGGCAATCTCGAGTGCTCAAAGTCACAATAAACAAAATTTAAATGGCCCCCATTCTTGAGATAACGGTGTTTCCATTAATACTTAATGACAGGAGTTACAATTGAGTGTCAATAATAAAACGGACAATAATGAATTTGTCTTAGAGTCTAAGGTATTGTCATGAAAGTTATGACAAAAGTATAATTATTCTAAAATTTGTATTCCCTTCAGTGGTTGTGAAATGATGATGATGATGATGTTCTCCTGACTGATTCCGGCCACAGCGGCCAATCTCATTGAGACTAGCCAACTGCGCAGGAGATATTATAGTGCACAAGTGTACGGGCAGACACAACGTGCACTCTCTATTCCTGTCACTCTCATACTGTGGTGGACGACCACTCGACACAACCAGTGAGAGTTAAGGCGCCGCAGGACCGACGGCTTTACGTGCTCTCCGAGGCACGGGAGTGAAACACCGCCGACTTCCCAACTCCGGGCTATTACTGAGGCTTACTATACAGAAAGTATCAATAATTAAAGTTGGCCCGACCCGGGACTCGAACCCAGGACCTCTGGGTGTGCAGCCGTACATGCTAGCCACTACACCACCCAGGTAGTTATATTGTGAAATGATAACAGAAGTATAAATATAAATATTAAATACTAGCGACTCAACCTCGCTCCGTTCGCGTTCGTCCTTACTTACGTTTTGACGTTTAGTGTAGATTTTTCAGAGACGAGATATTATTAAATAAAACTATCTTTTTGGATTATTTTTGGAGATTTTTGGTTCCCCAAAAATCAAACTAAATCCGCAAAATAATCCGAAAAGATAGTTTTTATTTAATAATGTCAAACATTTGCGTAAATCTAAGAAAGTATTAAGAGACGAGATAAATTCCGGCAGTAAAAAGTATCCTTAATGTTCATCTGGATAACCAGCTATCATCGTACCAAATTTCATCAAAATCTGTTCTGTGGGTTTCTCGTGATGCGTTCCCAGATAGAGAAAAATTCTAAAAACTATAGATTCGGTCCTATATCGATAATAATGACGATTTCAATAAGATTTTCTAAACAAAAATTTATATACAGATTCCACTCAGAATTTTATTATTTGTATAGAAGACATTTTTGGTGATTTCTTATAATACTAATGTGACAGAAATTGTTTTAATTTTTTAATGAAGCTCTAAGATACATAGAATAGTGCTGGAATGAATAAAGCTTTCACTTACACTTATATTAAGCTATTAAAATAAAAAAAAAATAATAGGTACTTTGATGGATCTAATGATGAGATGAAAAAAAAACATCTACTTTAGAACTGACTTACAAATGAATACAATTTTTATTTCGTTTGAAATATATTTTTAAAATGTGCTTTAAAATAAACGTTGACACTGAAGTCACATTATATTTATTTAATTTATTACAAAGAAAACATTCTTATAATTTTTACACATTATTTAGTTTTTCAGTCGAGACTATTTGCGTAGTTACTTAAATAAAAAGCTATGACAGATAGATGGACAAATGAAGGTAAGCTATTTTAAATTTATTGTTAGTTTTATGAATGATAATTCGTTAAGTTTTTTATTTATATTTGTTGAGATGTTTATAAAATACAAGCAAACCCCGTGGCTTCGCCCGCGTTCAATTTACAAAATAAAAATTGTTTTGCTTTGTTATTTATATAATATTAAATTATTTGGTAATTGTTCATACAAAAAAACTATAATCACGAATAAAAAATGGGGATAGAAGATTGAAAAATACTTTAAGACCTATTCTCATACCTACCAAATATACAAAAAAAAAATCATTAAAATCACTGAGCAGTTTCGGAGAAATGCGACCACAAACACCGTGACACGAGATATATATTACATAAACATATCTAAGTAGATCTTGTTGAGTATTTCAATTCTATACAACAATATAATATGATACGAGCCTCATAACGATGTATTCAGCCCTTTTCCATGTCCCACAGCTGGGCACGGGCCTCCTTTTAATACGAGGGGGAACATTAGGTACACATTGTCTTTAGAAAACTCGCTAGGTTCTCTCAGACATGCAGGTTTCCTCACGATGTTTTCGTTCACCGTTAAGACAAGTGGTAATCATGTTGGAAATGATTCGCACATGAATATATCAGAGGTGCGAGACCCGGGATTTCA